TATTGAATCTAATTTAAAATTTACAAAAACGAAGGGAGTACTTAACGAAGAAAGAAGCTGCTAAATTTCAGTAGAAGGAATTGTGGCATTTGGCATACCAACCTACTATCTCGCACCTCAGAGGTGGCTGTGGGTATGGCGGCCTGCATTCCTCGTGCAGCTTGTTGGTGCCATAGTGGACAATACAGACTTGTTCCCAAAGAATTGTGCTTATTTTGACCTGTTTGGTGGCTCCCTGAGTGATCAGCACAGGGACTTGCCTTTGTTTCTCCTCTCCCCTCTCAGAACTCTGTAAGGGTTGGAGTGGCCCCCTGGGAGGCTTTTGTCAAAAGTATTCAAAGGCATATACTACACACAGCTATCCATGAAAAAAAAATAATAGAGCAAGCAGCAGACAGACTGAAAAGCCTAGGAAGCAAGAGACTGGGGAAGAGATACATTTCAATATTTACTACAAAGCAAAACAGTGTGTTACTAGAATAATGATAGAGATAGATCAATGGAATAGAATGAGTCCCCAAATAAACCCATACATCTATGGTCAATTGATTTTCAACCAGAGTGCCAAGGCCATTCAATGGGGAAAGAACAGTCTCTTAAACAAATGGTGCTGTGCTGGGAAAATCAATGCAAAAGAATGATGTCAGACCTTTGCCTCACACCATATACAAAAATTAGCTCATAATGGATCAAAGACCTAAACATAAGAGCTAAAACTATAAAATCCAGAAGAAAACATAAGGGTAAATCTTCATGACTTTGGATTTGTAATGAACAGATTATGGTGGAAGTGATGGGATGAGACCTCTGAACCCAGATCATAAAAGGCACTGTGGTCTTTCTTGTATCACTTGCTCTTAGGGTAATCTATTAAGCCAGTCGTTGGGGTAATCTATTAAGCCAGTCGTTAGGGCACTCAGGCAGCCCTGTGAGGCCCAGGTAACAAGGAACTGAAGCTTTCTGACAATAGCCAGCAAGGAACTACTAGAAACCATGTGAATGAGCCATCTACCTTGGAAGCAAATGTCCCAGTCCCAGTCAAGTCTGGCCAGCAGGTTGACTGCAACCTCACAAGAGACCCTGAGCTGGAATCACCCAGCTAAGCTATTTCCAGATTTGTGACCCTCAGAAACTGTTTCAGAGAATAGATGTCTGTTGTTTTAAGCTGCTACATTGTAAGGCAATTTGTTATGCAGAAATAGATAATACACTACCACACCATCCTGGCAAAGAATAGAATATTTATTCCCTAGAGAAAGTGAATCAGGGAAGCTTTAGACACAAGGCTATGAAGAAAAGCAGATGGCAGTGGCACCATGCTGAAATCAGGGGATTAAAAAAATAGTGGAATGTAAATCAACTATACTTTAATAAAAAATCATAATAAAAAATAAACGGGGGACTTCCCTGGTGGCACAATGGTTAAGAATCCGCCTGCCAATGCAGGGGACACGGGTTCGAGTCCTGGTCCAGGAAGATCTCACAGAGCAACTAAGCCGGTGCACCACAACTACTGAGCCTGCACTCTAGAGCCTGCGAGCCACAACTACTGAGCCCGTGTGCCACAACTACTGAAGCCTACGCACCTAGAGCCCGTGCTCCGCAACAAGAGAAGCCATCAGCACTGCAACGAAGAGTAGCCCCCACTCGCCGCAACTAGAGAATGCCCACGCGAAGCAACAAAGACCCAATGCAGCCAAAAATAAATAAAATTTTAAAAATAAATAAATAAAAAATAAATGGTGGGACCTCATCACTATTGGACCCTCAAAATTCTGGCAGTCAAGAGGTGAGAAGGCTCTTCTCTGGAGAAATGGAATAGCCTAGGAGAAAAGCTATAATGCTAACATTTTGGGGCTGACAAAGAAATGTCTGAAATCTATACTGAAGTTCACAAGTTGACAAGCCCTATCTATCTACCTATTGTTACTACATTAAATCCCCCCACACCCCTCTTGAATTCTTTTGGCTGGTCTAATAATTTAATTGACTCAAGACAGGTTAACAGGAGAAAAAAACCCAATTTAATTTATATGCATGAAGGTCTCATAGAAATGGAACCCCTGACAAAGGAACAATTATTTGTGAAGATTTAACAAAGGGCCTTGTGCTTGGCGGAGCAGACTAACGAAGCAGTAAAAAAGTTCGTTTATACAGCTTTCTTAGCCTTGAATTCCCTAACTCTGGTGATAAAGATGGTTTTTATTCTCTTGGTATAGGGAGGATAGTTTTACATGGGAGATTTATTTCCTGCTTTCTGGGGAAAGAAGGGGGTCAGAGTGTTTTCTATATCATTTTTCCCCACTAGCTGTTTCTCAAGTAACTTTAATTCAAAACAATCAACATGCCATTGTGGCATTTCTTGGGGTGGCCTGTTTTGAGGCCCAGCAACAGTCATCTTTTTAGCGCATTATTAATAAATGATGAATGGACAGTATTAATCAACAAACTAGGGAAAGCCTAGCACTATGTAAATGTAAACCTAGTAATATGAAAGACAGATGAAAACAATAAAAAAAAAGAAGTAAGGAAATGAATACAGTTAAGGAACAGAAAAATACACACACAGGAAAAAGCCACCCAAAATCCCCCTACAATAGCACCAAGAGGTAAGAGGAGATCTTATATCCAGGAAACAATTAACATGTATATAAAAACTGCTCTTGGAAATTAAAAATAAAATACCTATTATTAAAGATTTAATAGCAGATATGGGAAAGAGCTGTGGAAATCACTCAGTTGTAGGGGGAAAAAAAGTTAAAAAATAAGGTAATAAAGGATGAGAAAGATAACAGATAAAATCAGGGATTTCAACATCCAGAAAGAGAAGGGTTCCAGAAAGAGAGTAGAAAACTGAATGGAGGAAAATTTCAGAAAATTTAAGATTTCTAGAAATATAGGTCACGATTCTTCGACATAAAGGGGTCCACTGAATACCCCATACAATGAACCAAAAAGACTCATACCAGAGCACACCTTTGTGAAGTTTCAGAAAACTAGGTGTGAAGAGAACCATTTAAGAATGCTTCTAAAGAGAAAGAACAACAATATACAAATCAAATTGTCATCATACTTGAAGATAAAAACTGTAAGCTAGAAGACAATGGTATAATTCTCTCAAAATTCTAAGGGAAAATTATATCCAACCTAAAATTCCAAACCTAGTTAAGCTATCATCCCAAAGAGGTTAGAATAAAGACGTTTTAGACTTGTAAGGGCCCCCAAATTTTATTCCAAATTAATCTCTCTCAAGGTGCTAATGGAGGATTTTTTTAAAAATTAAAATGTGAGACTAAATAAAGAAAAAAAGAAGACATAAGCTCCAGGAAACCCGTAATCCAACATAAGAGGTGAAGGAAATTCCCAAGATGGTCATGTGCTGGTTATTCATTTACTGTGTTTCAGTCCCACACTGAACCTTCTATATGGTTCTCTGTAATGCTGGGATTGGGACTCTGCACACTACAATTCCCAGGCTCCTTTGTCAGCTGGCTTCTTTTTATTTATTCACTGATAAGTCGAACATACTCATTAATTAACTCTACAGTGGAGAAATCTTATGGACACCATTTAAACTATAAGTAATAAAACCTGGGACTTTCCTGGTGGTCCAGTGTTTAAGACTCTGCGCTCCCAATGCAGGGGGCACTGGTTCCATCCCTGGTCCGGGAACTAAGATCTGGCGGGCGTGGGGTGGGGAGAGGAAGTTAACATTACCAGTAATGGAACATATTGACATTGCGTGTCTCCTGATAAAATAAACCAAGAAGAGCGTAGCATCATTTATGGGATTTTCCTCCCCAAAATGTATAAATGATCAGGACACATCAGGTAAACCCAAATTGAAGAACATTATACAAAATAACTAATCTGTACTCTTTGAAAATGTTAAGATTGTGAACAGGTGGAATAAACAGAAAACAAATAGTAAGGTGGCAGATTTAAACCCAAATATTTTAGTAGTTTCACTGTAGAGGAGAGTGTCTATACTTGAGGGTCTGGGACAGATAAAACCAAGCATCTCGTAATAAATTACTTTGCAATCTTCCTTCTTGCTTTAAAAACATGTTGAACTTGCATTCTAAACCATAGTAAAAGTGCCTATTTTAACATAACCCGTTAATGTTGTTTAGCATATAGTAGATTAAAAAAAATTCTGTCAACCTTCAAATAAAATTGATGCCCCATAAAGATACCCTCTTTTATCATTTTACAAAAGCCTAACAGAGGTTAATTTCTGTTACGCAGATACAAGCCTGGTCTCCCAAACAGGTGATACACATTCACATATACACAACACCCAGTCACACCTGCGGTCACAACTCAGCATCTTCAGCAAGCTCTGCCCCGCCCTCTTCCTCACCTGAGTGCAGAGACGCACGCGCTCACACACACTCGTCAAGATCGTGATTTCTTCTCTGTCGCCTCTTCAATACAGTCCAGAAAGAGAAGATTAGGTCCCACCTTCACTCTTACCCTGAGCGCTGCGCGGACCGAGGCCTGGACTCACCCGACGGACAAAGATGAAAAGTGTGTCATCCCCTCTGCATTCCGAGGGCGAACTAGAACCTCAAGAAATCTCCCGGGCCCGGCGGGTTGGGTCACGGGGGTCAGGACCAGCTGAAAAGAATCAGTTCGCTTGCACCCTGGCCGATTGGCTGCTTTTCTGGCGTGAACTACGTTTCCCAGAGGCTCTGCGACTCGGAGCTGCTTAAGAGGCGAATTTGCGGTCTCGCCTTTTGCTTACGGGCGATAACTGAGCTGACAGAGATGGGTAGGACTGGCAACTCCAGCAGGTATGCCGGCTCCATCTGCGAACTGCTTGGCGTCCGGGGCTTGCGGTTCTGATTGGTGCAGAGAGGCGGTGGATGAGCGCAAACCTAGCTTCCGCGCTGAGAGGAATCGGGGGCCCGTTTTCAGCCTCTGGACTACATTTCCCAGAGAAATCCGCAGGCCCACGCTATGTCCCGCGGTATTTCGCAGCTGAGTTTTGCACAGTGGTGGGGCCGTTGGCTCCGCGGAGTTAGCTGCTGAGGGGCGTTTGGAACCCGGTGCAACTTAGCTACTTTGGACCAGACCGGAACTAGGGAAGGACTAGGGTGAGGAGTTGGGCCCCCGGCCTTTCGTGTCTGGAGCGAGCAGAAGAGAGGAGATCGTGTGTGTGTGTGTGTGTATAATTGTTACAGTGTGTCTTCGCAGTGTGTGATGGTGACAGTATGTGGTGATCACTCTGGGTGATGGAGTGGGGTGCTTGTGACTGTACGTGTTCCCAGAAAGGGTATGTGATTGTTACTGCATTGTGCGCCACTGTGGGGTATGTAGAGGGCAGGTGACTGTGCATTTGGAACTGTGTGTCCCGGTAATGGGTGTGTGATTGTTTGAATGTGTGCAGCACCGTGTGCCTAGGATTTGGAGGTCTGAGACTGTGGTGTCAGGCGCCTGTGACTGTGCAGGTGCAACTAATATGACCTTAGTGTGTGGGTGCGGGGAGTCCTGTGGCTGTGCGATAGAGACCTTGTGTGTCCCTTAGGTATGTATGTGGGATTATATGTAACCAGGTGACCTTGTATAGCACTATGTGTGCCATGGTGAGTGGGTTGTGATGGTGCAAGTGTGGCTTCACCACTCCATACCTAGGAGTCATTTGTGGGCCCATGATAGATTGTAGCTCTTTTCCTGTAACTGCATTGGGCTGGATTCTTCAGTCTTCCCTGACCTTCCTCTGTATGTGTGTGTGGGTGGAGAGGGGCTGGAGAAAGTGTGGGATCCCAAGAAAAGCTGGAGAAAGTGTGGGATCCCAAGAAAAGCTAAGTGTCTCATCAGTTTCTTCTTTTTTCCTCAGTTACCTCACTAAGAGGAAAGAATGGTTTCTGAACATCCAAAAGTCAAGATCAAAGTGCTTTGTGATTTTTTCTTTCTTCCCTGAAATCTTTGTTTTTCAAGGTATATATATTTTTTCCTCTTCTGACAATTCCTGACTACCAAAAGCCCATTCAAGAGACCTTGTCCTTAGTACTTCCCATTTGGATACATAATGGAGGCCTTGGGGTTAGACCCAGAGACCCAGTTTCCTATATGTCCCCTCCGTCTTAGTATTAATTCGGCAGTTTCTCCTGTGTGCCATATCTCCTCTAAGATCTCTGCTGGCCTAGTGAGGCAAATACAGAGGCTTCATCATAACAACTGAATTGTTGAAAATCAGATGAGTGCATATGTGGCACACACCATACCACACACCAAGCAAAAGCCATGCAGCTTATGGGTTGGTTTTGGTTAGTCTCAGTCCAAACAGGTGATAAGATCTTTCACTTTGCCAATATTTTTGGAGTAGGAATGACATGGGGGCTTGATCAAAGAGTTCTATACCAATAGGACAAGGGATTTGCCAGGTAATTTGTGAGTAAATACTTGGACCAGTTTCCAGGTCTATTTTGAATTAAATTCTCAAATGGTCCTCGTTGGAGTTCTCAATCTGGAATCCATGGACTCCATCACCAGATATCTAAAGGGAAGGAGGACTGGAATGAAATTCACTAAGGGTTACAAAAATGGTAGAACCACGGATAGATCTAAAAGCAGAGACTACAACACTTTGGGACAACCTTTGAGATAATAAAATCCAAAATTACTTTTCACAAATAGGGAAATTTTAAGTAAATCCCAATATAAGGTGGCATTTTATGCAGCTAAGTAAAAATATGTTTGAGATAGAACATATCCATTTTCATTATTATGACTAACATTAAGCAATTTAAAATAAATAGAAGGGCTTCCCTGGTGGCACAGTGGTTAAGAATCTGCCTGCCAATGCAGGGGACACGGGTTCGAGCCCTGGTCTGGGAAGATCCCACATGCCGCGGAGCAACTAAGTCCATGTGCCACAACTACTGAGCCTGCACTCTAGAGCCTGCAAGCCACAACTACTGAAGCCCGCATGCCTAGAGCCCGTGCTCCGCAACAAGAGAAGCCAACGCAGTGAGAAGGCTGCGCACCGCAACGAAGAGTAGCCCCCACTCGCTGCAACTAGAGAGAGCCTGCGCACAGCAACGAAGACCCCACACAGCCAAAAATAAATAAATAAAATTTAAAAATAAAATAAATAGAAAGTACTCAAGAAATTGTATAGTTAAATCTCCTCCCTATTTTTTTAGGAACAGAAGTTATTTGTAAAAGGGCCAAAGGAATGTGAGGTCCTCAAAATGAAGAAGCTTTAGAGCTGTCAGTTGAAGCTCAGTAAATACCAAACCAATTCTTAGCTAGAGTCAAGCTCTTCAGAAGCTCCCTGGAGATACACATGAAGGAAAATAGATGTCTTAAAGGGAAGATTATGAATAATAGGGGAAACTTCTCAATTAGTAGAACTATGTTTCCTTACTTCTCTATTATCACATCCTTGAAGAAGTTCCTCTGGACAGGATTTATCCATTTGTCCTCCACAGCCACTCATGGATTTGACCACATCCATGAATACTTCCTTCTTCTGAAATGACAAAAACTTTTTTCTTCTCCAGAGGCCTGTGCCCCCGTAGTGCCCTGGTGGGGGTGGCCATGAAGGGGCAAAGAGGGGATATAAGATGATCAAAACATTGTAGGTGGACAGCATGTATCAAATTGCTTAGGCAATGCTGGACATTTTAAACTTCACGTAGCACTTAATTAGATTATCAAACATCCACAGTTTGGAATTCTAGCTAGAATTAATTTATTCTTGGGAGCAAGGGGGGCAGTTCCACATAGTGGAGAGAAAGGTGATAGGCCTGTGCCCAGCTGAGTGAGGGCAACTCGGAACTTGAAAGCCTTGCATGTACAAGTTCAGCTGGTCCTCATCTAGGCCACAGGCATCTCTCCTTTGATGTTGCAACAGCCTATTAACTGATCCCCCTACTTCTTTCATTGCCTGCCTAACATTCCTTCTTAACACAATGGCCAGGGTGATTCTTCCAAAATGTAAGTCATCACTCCCTGGCTTAAAACTTTCCGTGGCTGCCCATCTCACTCAGAGTAAAAACCAAAGTTTCTACAATGGCTTACACAGCCCAATGTAATCTGGCTCTCGGCTGCCTCTCTGACTTGATTTTCTATACATTTTTAGGTAACTTAATTCTGCCCCCTCTGCTTTTGAACTTGCTGATTCCCCTGCCTGGCATTTTCTTGCTCCTGATATCTGCATCATTACTCTTTCACTTCTTCAAGACTTTGCTCACCTGTCACCAAATTGGAGAACCCTTCTTTGACCACCCTACATAAAATAGCATCTCAACAAGTGCACTTCCTATCTCCCTTATACTGTTTTATTTTTTCATAGCTCTTATTACCATTTTTTAACTGAGATATAATTGACGTAAAACATATTAGTTTCAGGTGTAAAACATAATGATTCAATATATGTATATATTATGAAATGATCACCTCAAAAAGTCTAGTTAACATCCATCACTGCAGATAGTTACAAACGTTTTTCTTGTGATGGGAACTTTTAATATCTAATCTCTTAGCAACTTTCAATATATAATATAATACTAGTAACTATAGTCACCATGTTGTACATTACATCCCCAGGACTTACTTTATAACTGGAAGTTTGTACTTTCTGACCACTTTCACCCATTTTTGCTTCCCCCCCCCCCCCACCTCTGGCAACCACCAGTCTAGTCTCTGCATCTATGAATTTGGTTTTTTGTTTTGTTTTTAGATTCCACATATAAGTGAGATCATATGGTATTTGTCTTTCTCTTATTTCACTTAACGTAATGCCCTCAAGGTCCATCCATGTTGTTGCAAATGGCGAAATTTCATTCTTTTTTATGGCTGAATAACATTCCATTGTGTGTGTGTGTGTGTGTGTGTATATATATATATATATATATATATCACAATTTCTTTATCCATTGATTCACTGATGGACACTTAGGTTGCTTCCATATCTTGGCTATTCTAAGTAATGCTGCTATGAACATGTGGATGCATGTATTTTTTCAAGTTAGTGTTTCTGTTTTCTTCAAATAAATACCCAGAAGTGGAATTGCTTGATCATATGGTATTAAAAAAAATTTTTTTTTGAGGAACCTCCATACTGTTTTCCATAATGGCTGTGCCAATTTACATTCTCATCAATGATGCACAAGGGCTCCCTTTTCTCCACATCCACATCCATCCACCAACATTTTTTGTTTTTTTAACAGTAGCCATTCTAATAGGTATGTGAGGTGAAATCTCATTTTTTTAAATAAAGCATTTAAATTTATTTATTTATTTTGGCTGTGCTGGGTCTTCGTTGCTGCGCACGGACTTTCTCTAGTTGCGGCGAGCGGGGGCTACTCTTCGTTGCGGTGTGCGGGCTTCTCATTGCAGTGGCTTCTCTTGTTACGGAGCACAGGCTCTAGGCATGTAGGCTTCAGCAGTTGTGGGGCATGGGCTTAGTCGCTCTGTGGCACGTGGGATCTTCCCGGACGAGGGCTCAAAGCCGTGTCCCCTGCTTTGGCAGGCGGATTCTTAACCACTGCACCACCAGGGAAGTCCCAACATTTCTTTATCTAGAAACTTCCTTGCCCAACTGAGCTTCATCTATGAACCCATCTCAGGTCCTCCCATTCTGTCAGGGAGCAAGTGATGGCACCCAGCAGCAGGGTCTTGTCCCTTAGTATCCCACTCTTTTCTTTTTTTTTCTTTATTGAAGTATAGTTGATATACAATATAAGTTACAGGTGTACAACATGATTCACAATTTTTAAAGGTTATACTCCATTTATAGTTATTAATATTGGCTATATTTTCTGTGTTGTACAATATAGCCTTGTAGCTCATTTTACACATAATAGTTTGTACCTCTTAATACCCTACCCCTATATTATCCTTCCTCCCTTCCCTCTCCCCCACTGATAACCACTAATTTGTTCTCTATATCTGTAAGTCTGCTGCTTTTTTTAAAAATTATATTCACTAGTTTGTTGTATTTTTTAGATTCCACATATGAGTGATATCCTACAGTATTTGTCTTTCTCTGTCCAACTTATTTCACTTAGCATAATACCCTCCAAGTTCATCCATGTTGTTGCAAATGGTAAGATTTCACTCTTTTTTATGGCTGAGTAGTATTCCATTGTGTGTGTGTGTGTGTGTGTGTGTGTGTGTGTGTGTGTGTGTGTGTGTGTGTATGTCCACGACAGATGAATGGATAAAGAAGATGAGGTATGTGTATATATGTATATAATAGTGTTGCTATGAACACTGGGGTACATGTATATTTTCGAATTAGAGTTTTCATCTTTTCCAGATATATGCCCAGGAGTGGGACTGCTGGATCATATGGCCATTCTATTTTTAGTTTTTTGAGGAACCTCCATACTGTTTTCCATAGTGGCTGCACCAGTTTACATTCCCACCAACAATGTAGGAGGGTTCCCTTTTCTCCACACCCTTTCCAGCATTTGTTATTTGTAGATTTTTAAAATTATGGTGTGAGGTGATTCCTCATTGTAGTTTTGATTTGCATTTCTCTAATAATTAGCAATGTTGAGCATCTTTTCATGTGCCTGTTGGCCATCTGTATGTCTTCTTTGGAAAAATGTCTATTTAGGTCTTCTATCCATTTTTTGACTGGGTTTTTGTTGTTGTTGTTGTTGTTGAGTTGTGTGAGCTGTTTGTGTATTTTGGAAATTAAGCCCTTGTTGGTTGTATCATTTGCAAATATTTTCTCACAGTCTGTATGCTGGTTTTTTCATTTAGTTTGTGGTTTCCTCTACCGTACAAAAACTTGTAAGTTTGATTAGGTCCCATTTATTTGTTCTTGCTTTTATTTTTATTGCCTTGGGAGATTGACCTAAGAAAACATTGGTACAATTTATGTCAGAGAATGTTTTGCCTGTGTTCTCTTCTAGGAGTTTTATGGTGTCCCGTCTTATATTTAAGACTTAGCCATTTTCTATCTCATTGTGGTTTTGATTTGCATTTCCCCTATGGTTAGCCGATGTTGAGCATCTTTTCATGTGCCTGTTGGTCATCTTCACGTCTTTGGATAAACGTCTATTCAGTTCTGCTCATTTTTTAATCGGCTTTTTTTTTTTTAAACGTTGAGTTCTATGAGCTGTCTATATATTTTGGATATTTACTCCTTATTGCTCATATCATTTGCAAATATTTTCTCCCATTCCGTAGGTTGTCTTTTCCTTTTGTTGATGGTTTCCTTTGCTGTGCAAAAGCTTTTAAATTTAATTAGGTCACATTTGTTTATTTTTGCTTTTATTTCCTTTGCTTTAGGAGACAGATCCAAAAAAATACTGCTGTGATTTATGTCAAAGAGCGTTCTGCCTATGTTTTCCTCTAGGAGTTTTATGGTTTCTGGTCTTACATTTAGTTCTTAATCCATTTTGAGTTTATATTTGTAAATAGTATAGGAGAATGTTCTAAATTCATTCTTTTACATGGAGCTGTCCAGTTTTCCCATCACCGTTTATTGAAGAGACTGTCTTTTCTCCATTGTATATTCTTGCCTCTTTTGTCATAGATTAATTGACCATAAATGTGTGCACTCTTTTTTCTGTTCTAGCATCCCATTCTTTTCTAACAGTGTTCCCATTTGTGTGCAGTGCTCTGTGATGGAGCCTAAATACATTCCACTGGGCCTCCCATATCAGAATTGTGCTTTTTTTTTTTTTTCAGATTCAGAATTGTGGTTTAATGAAGTGGAAATGATTGTTGAATGGGGTAACTCATCTTTACAGGCCTGTTTATTTTTCGTTAATTTTTGAGTTCCCCTTTAAAAAAATATGAAGTATTTCTTACTACAAAAGAATAATAGAACACTCATGTACTTAACACATAGAATAGGAAGGCCTATTGAAGACCCTTTTTTACCCTGCCCTCCCTCTCAACGTGTAACCTGTAAAGAAAATTTTGTAGTCATCATTCTCTTGCTTTTCACAATTGTTTTACTATTTATCCCTAAACAATATACTGTTAGCTTTTCTATAGTTTTGAACTTTTTAACAAGTAAGACTAGCCAGATGCATAAGTTTTTGAGAATTTTAGACTTTCAAAGCTGTAAACGAACTTAGAGATCTTGTTCGATCTCAATACCCAAAATAATGGAATGGTATGTCTTGCCTTCCTAAGATGAAAGATATATCCAGTTAAAAAGAGTTTATTAAAGAACTTGCATTATAAAGAAAAATACTTATGATACTTTCTGAAAATGATGATTCTTAATATTTGGTGTACACTTTAATTAGATCAAAGTCCTATTATGTGCAACAGAGGTTTTTCTTGTTTGTTTGGTAAATATTTTAGAAAGATTCTGACTTTTTCCTTTAAGAAGTAAGAAAAAAAAAAGGGAAAGGAGGAGCTCGTATTTAAGAGTTTATTGTAAGTAGTAATTAGCATGTCAGATGTTCACTATACAGTTCTTTCAACTTTCTGTATGTTTGAAAGTTTCCACAATAAAAATATTGGTAAGTCAGGGATGATCATTAAAATAAATAGTAATTTTCCAGGCCTACAGGTTGCTGTGTGTTTTTCTACTCTATTTCATTATTTGGGAAACTGTAAATAAATGTGTGTTTTGTTCATTCCTAGCCCTAGCCGTGGGATAATGGGAATGTCTCACTGTATGAAGGAGGTGTGTCTACAGCAATAGGAATATTCAAGAAGATGGAGGCACTTTGTTCTAATTACACTAATTTTTTTACTCTGCCCTATCTTTGGCTTAACCCATTTGCTCAGTGTATTTTCTCCATCCCTCAGTGTCCTTTTCCATCTCTTCTTTGATCTGAAAGACATTTCCTTTAATTTTAACAGTACTACATGGTTTTGTCATTTTAGGGGTTGGTCATGTTCAGGGATGTGGCTGTAGACTTCTCTCAGGAGGAGTGGGAATGCCTGGACTCTATGCAGAGGGATTTATATAGAGATGTAATGATGGAGAATTACAGCAACCTGGTCTTACTAGGTAAGGATTTCTTTTATTTATTTATTTATTTATTTATTTATTTATTTATTTATTTATTTATTTATTTAATTTACTTTACTTTTGGCTGCCCTGGGTCTTCGTTGCTGTGTTGTGGGCTCTCTCTAGTGGCGAGCGGGGGCTACTCTTCGTTGTGGTGCACGGCTTCTCATTGCGGTGGCTTCCCTTGTTGCGGAGCATGGGTTCTAGGTGCGCGGTCTTCAGTAGCAGTAGTTGTGGCGCACGGGCTCTAGAGCACAGGCTCAGTATTTATGGTGCACGGGCTTAGCTGTCCCGCGGCATGTGGGATCTTCCCGGACCAGGGATCGAACCCGTGTCCCCTGCATTGGCAGGTGGATTCTCAACCACTGTGCCACCAGGGAAGTCCTAGGCAAGGATTTCTATTCCCAAATAACTTGTGAATTTTGGGTGTATTTTCAATTGTCTGGGTGGGTTTCTACCTATTTCCTTGGGAATTATTTTGTACATTGTAGCTTCGGAGATGAGCAGCACTTTGTGGTACCTTTATTTTCTCCTTGCTTTACACCTTCCTCTTGTCCTTCATGTTGTTGCCTGTTTTCTTGAGGACTGGGTTTGAATTCAGGAACAGCATGATTATGTCTTCTTATTTTTTCTTACAAACAGGACTCTCTATTCCTAAGCTTGATGTGATTTTCTTATTAGAGGAAGGGAAGGAGCCCTGGATGGTTTCAAGGAACATGGTGGGAGGATGGTGCCCAGGTGATTAGATTGAACAGGTAGGGAAAGGCACTGCAGTTAGGAACCCAGCTGGTGGGACTTCCTTGGTGGTCCATTGGGTAAGACTCCGCTCTCCCAATGCATGGGGCCCGGGTTCGATCCCTGGTTGGGGAGTTAGATCCCACATGCATGCCGCAGCTAAGAAGTCTGCATGCCACAACTAAAAATCTTGCATGCTGCAACTAAAGATCCCGCATGCCACCAAGAAGATCCTACATGGTGCCACTAAGACCCGGCGCAGCCAAAATAAATAAATAAATATTAAAAAAAAAAAAGAAGAACCCAGCTGGTGAGGGAGGCAGCACCTTAAAGGTATAGATTGAGGAATCTCTTCCTTGAAGGCCTATCCAAGGGTTGTGAAGAAAAGCCCTAAAACACGTGGAAAAATGTAAAGTCCTTCCCTTTTACCCCCACCTGTGCTCTCTGTGCTATTCATCTGTCATAATTCCCTCCAATTTTAAAGCCGTTTTTCTTTAAGAGCCATTTTATATCATATAACTTAGATCCACTTCTTTCCCTTTTTTAAACTCATGTGTTTTTTAAAAAAGTCTTCTGAAATGCATTTTTAAGCCCTACTGTTCATTTTTCCTACTGATCTTTGAATTTTTTTCCCTCTGACTAGTTTTTTTTTTTTTTTTTTTTGCGGTACGCGGTCCTCTCACTGTTGTGGCCTCTCCCGTTGTAGAGCACAGGCTCCGGACGCGCAGGCTCAGTAGCCATGGCCCACGGACCTAGCCGCTCCGCGCCATGTGGGATCTTCCCGGACCAGGGCACAAACCAGTGTCCCCTGCATCGGCAGGCGGACTCTCAACCGCTGCGCCACCAGGGAAGCCCGCCCTAGTCTTACTTTTGATTGTGACTTTCTACGCGCCTCAGTTTGAAAGGTGGGAATCTTGAAGGATCTGGGTTCAAAGCATTACTCTAGGAGATTATTTACTCGTTTATACCAGAGACCAGGTCTATTCTTTAATTAATTTCTCAGCTTGAGGTGTCCATGACAGGTAGTGTAAATTTGAACTCCAATCTTATGTGAGGATGGATGTTAATGATTAATTCTCAGGTGAGACTCTTTTTTTTTCTTTTGCGGTACGCGGGCCTCTCACCGCTGTGGCCTCTCCCGTTCCGGAGCACAGGCTCCGGACGCGCAGGCTCAGCGGCCATGGCTCATGGGCCCAGCCGCTCCGCGGCATGTGGGATCTTCCCAGACCGGGGCACGAACCCGTGTCCCCTGCATCGGCAGGCGGACTCTCAAACACTGCGCCACCAGGGAAGCCCTCTTTTTTTTTTTTTGATGGTGGTAGTGGTGGTGAAATCTAGAACCACAGCGGAGAAGAGCAGATTTACCTGTTAGTCCTTTAACTGGCAGGAGACTTTTTCCTAGCCCACCCTTTAACTCTGGGTGTGGCTTCTTTGAAGACCTGGATTTTATGCTGTAGTCTCAGGTTTCGTTCTTCACTTTGCGTAGTTTGAGACTTAACCTTGTTCCTTCACATGGACATCAATCCACAAAAGCTCTTGGTTTCTGTTGGGATGCCCCACAGCAAGGTGGTTTCAGTTCTCGGGTTTGCTTTGCCGCTCCAGTTTCAGTTTTCTTTTCTGTGTTTAGTATGTTTATATTGTTTTTGCTTTTAGGAATTTCCTTTACTTTCTTGAGCACTCAGTGGCAAGTTTAAAGATACCTTTATTTTGATATATCCAGCATTTAGCAGTTTTGCAACATAAGACTACTTTTCACGATAGATAAAGTGTACCATACTGCTAAAAGCAGAGGTTGCAGTGGGAGAGATGAGGAAGAATGTCAGTACCCGCAGTGTTTGCAAAATACTAGAAACAATCTAAATGTCTCTCAGCATCAGAATAGATCAGTAAATCATCCTGTTTCTATTGTATGCTAAATAAAACCATACTGCCATGAAATGAATGAATTATAGCTAATATATCAGGTTAATCATAAAAACAGTCACAGAATACCAGAAGTATGAGGCTATTTATATATAGTGTTCAAATGTTGTCATACTGCACAGTATTTTAATAAGAATTCACATATATATAGTAAAACAATAATAAAAGGAAAGAGAATGAGAAATACAAATTTCGAAATAGTGGTTACCTGTAGGGTACAGGAAAGCGAGAACAATTTGCTTTGGGAGGGATATTCAAGAAGCATCAATAATATTTGTAATGTTTTATTTTTTAAGCTTAGTAATGGATACATAGTATTCATTTCATTATTCTTCATACCTTTTAAATATGTGTATATACAAATGCACAAAACACTCTCATTTGTATGTATTTCTTAACAAAAAATACTTTCTGACTAATGAAGCTAAAAGGAGAGGAATAAGGTGACTAATTGGGATGCTGTGTTAGTAATTCACACATAAGATGATGATAGGTTAGACTAGGGGTCAGCAAACTATGTATGGCCAGTGAGCCAGCTGCCTATTTTTTGTAAATAAAGTTTTATCAGAACATAGCCACAGCTATTCACTTATGTGTTGTCTTTGGCTATTTTTGCACTACAGTGGCCAAGTTGAGTAGTTGCAATGGGGACTGTGGCTTGCAGGCCTAAAATATTTACTCTCTGGCCCTTAAAGAGAAAATTTGCTGATGCTTATGATGTTAACAGTAGAATGTTGAGAAAATGATTAGATTCAGGATTTTTTTTTAAGGTTAAGCCAGAAGGATCAATAGTAGCTGGCTATGTGAGCTTCTGGCAGAGTGGAGAGGGTAGAGCTGGGAATCACCAGCAGATGGATAATTTATTAAGCAATAAGACTGAAAGAGATCGATCACTTGATAAATGAGTGAAATATTGAGAGAAGAGTGTCAAAGACTGTTCTCTGAGCCATTCTTCCACTTAGAAGTCAGGAAAGGAGGATGGTCCTGGTTTTCCCAATTATGGAGTTTTCCAGAATGTGGGACTTTTCAGTGCTAAAACCAGGACAATCCCAGGCAAACTGAGATGGTTGATTACCCTAGATGGTATCTAAAAGGAGAATGAGAAAGACTGGTGAGCAAAGTAGAAAATGACCAAGGTAAGTATGGATGTACCAGTAGATAAACTGTCACACATTACTGGAAGAACAGTAACTGACCACTAGAGTTAACAAAAGGGAGGGTTTTGGTGGTCTTAGAAAGAGTGTTTTTTCAGTGGAGTTATGAAACAAAAATCATTCCTGATTGAAATGGCTTTAAAAAAAGTGGAAGAGAATTCTGGGAAAATGGTGGCTGTGAATGTGTAATGTTTTTGCTTTCCTTGAATCCTCCCCATCTCCCACCAAACAAAACAAACAAACCAAATAAGAGAGAAACTAAAAGAGCAAAATACAAATCCACAGGTAACATCTACATCAAAGCTAAGTGACAAGTCACCCCCTCAAACCCTATAAGAAGATTAACTGGGAATAAACTGACAGGCCTAAGACCCTTTTGGTGTCTGCAGTTTTTATGGGATGAAGTAGAAATAAAAGCAAGGGAATATCTGACAGCTCTGAGAAGAAGAGAACCCTCAAATCATAAATTTACTCACTAGAAAGTACAGCAGCTGCTGAAACTGGAAGTCATCCTTCTATAGGCAGGTAAGTGAAAGGTAAATACAGCACAGCTAAAGTCTGGGCCTCTTAAACTCTAGAATCCAAACTACAGATGCCTTTCAGGACAACATCTACTACTCAGGAGACATTTCTGGTAGTAGAATCCAAATTGAACAACAGGACAGGGATGATAGTGGCAAAGGAAGAAGGTGGTCTAGATAAAAGTGGGGGAGGGGAGCAGAGGAGGCATATTTCAGGAAGTGTTTAAGACTACAGTTTTGAGCACTCATAGAAAACCATGAAGAGGGACCTTCAATGCTACAAAGCTATAAACTCTACCCTGGTCCAATTTTTCCTCCTAAATGTAGAATAACACCCATCTCAATTAAAAATGAGTAAGAAATAAAATGGAATATTAAAAAGTATTCAGTTACCATATTATCCAGCAATACCATTTCTGGGCATATACCCAAAAGAATTGAGAGGAGGGGCCCAAACAGATATTTGTACACCTATGTTCATAGCAGCATTATTCACAATAGCTAACATGAGGGAGCAACCAAGATGTCCATCAACAAATGAATGGATAAACAAAACTGTAGTATAAACAGACAATGAAATATTATTCAGTCTTAAAAAGGAAGGAATACTGACACATACCACAACATGGATGAAGCTTGAGGACATTATGCTAAATGAAATAAGCCA